AGATAGATAGATAGATAGATAGATAGATAGATAGATAGATAGATAGACAGACAGACAGGCAGACAGGCAGACAGTAAATAACTTGATAAACTTAGAAGGCAGACAAACAAAAACAAGCTGAGATCTAATTAAGAGATCATTACAGGGGCTGAAGTGTTGGCTCAGTAGTTAAAAACACTGGTTGCTCTTCCAGAAGACCTGGGTTCAATTCTCAGTCCCTTCGTGGCAGTTCACAACTGTCTGCAACTCCAGTTCCAGGGGATCCTGGACACGGTCACACAGACATACGTGCAGGCAAAACACCAATGTACATAAAAGTAAAATAAAGATCCTAATAAGAAAAAAAGATCATTACAGCTGGAGGTGGTGGGACCCTCTTTAATTCCAGTACTCAGGAAGCAGAGGCAAGCAGATCTCTGTGAGTTTTTGAGACCAGCCTCATAAGTTCCAGGACAGTCAGGTCTGTTATACATAGAAACCCTGTTTGGTGGGGGGTGGGGAGGAGAAAGAGAGAGGAGAGAGATATCACTACATATTAAGAACTTCATATATTTCAGGGTTGTAACAATAAAATAACTTCTAAGATTTCTAAAACATGGAATACCTGAGTCAGGGGAGATGCTCAGCAGTAAAGGTACCACCAAGTCAGATGATTTGAGTTTGATACCAGGTGTCACAAGGAGAAAAGGGAGCTTACTTCCAGAAGCTGTCTTTTGATTTCCACGTGGGCATCATGACACATACCCACCTCCAAATACAAAATAAATCAACGCAATTAAACATCAGCAGCTGGAGAGATGGCTCAACATATAATGCTCTTGCAGAGGACCTGAGTTCTGTTCCCAGCACTGCCCTGGGCTTACAACCTCCTCTAACTCCAGTTTCAGGGGAGCGATTTTTGTCCTCTCCTGACTTCTGCAAGCATATACATATACACAGAGACTTAATTTTAAAATATTTTTCTCAGGACAGGGTTTCTCTGTGTAGCCCTGGCTGTACTGGAACTCCCTCTATAGACCAGGCTGGCCTTGAACTCAGAGATCTTCCTGCCTCTGCTTCCTGAGTGCTGCAATTAAAGGCATGCACCACCATGAGATTGTTTTGGTTTGGTTGTTTTGTTAAAATTAACCTTTTTAAAATGTTTTTGGAAAAATAAGGCAAGTAAGTTTAGATTCACATTATATGCATGAAGCTCAACCTGATTTCAAGAAAATGTCTCTTTGCTGGTTTCTCAGCTAGAGAAGTAGCTAGCTTCCTTGGCAGGCAGAGTTGACTCAGCAGTTAACACCACTTGCTGATCTTTCAGAGGATCAATCAGGGCTTGATTTCCAGCACCCATTCACAATTATCTATAACTGCAGCTCGAGAAGATCTGATGCTTTCTTCTGGCCACCAGAGGTACCAGGCATATGCATGGTGCACAATACACATAAAATAATAAAAATTAATAAATCTAAAAACAGTAAAAAGAAAGGGGTTCCCTCGTTTTCCTGACTGAATAGTTGTAGCAGTAGCTAGTCAAAGCAGAACCTGCCTTCCCCACAGGTCATAAAAGGACCTTTGCTGCCACTTGCTGGACATTTTCCATAACAACTACACATGGTCAAAAAATAAAAATAAAAAAGGACCCTGAGGGGACAGGAGCGCCACAAGAAGACCAACAGAGCTAACTAACCTGGGCTCACGAAGACTGAACCACCAACCAAGGACCATAAATGAACTCAACCTATGCCCCTTATAGATACATAACCAATAGGTAGCTTGGCCATCATGTGGGCCCCTAAAAAGTGGAGGGGAGAGGGGGCTGTCTCTAACAAGGACTCTGTTGCCTACTTTTTGATCACTTCTCTTGCTTGGCCACAGAAGAAGACATGCTCAGTCCTGATTGTCTTGATGTGCTGGTGTGGGTTGGTGGGACAGGCTTCCCTTTATTTGAGGAATAGGGGAGGGGGAATAAGGGGAAGAGAGAGGGAGGATGGGACTAGGAGAGGAGGGAGGGCCTACAATAATGAGATAGATAGATAGATAGATAGATAGATAGATAGATAGATAGATAGATAGATAGAAGCTTTAAAGTTTAAAGCTGGATTATTTGGTTCAAATCTGTAATCCCAGAACTCCAGAGGCTGAGATGTAAGGATAGTGGTGAGTTCAAGGATAGTCTGGCAAACATGTTGAAATTCTGCCTCAAAAATCCATGTGTAGGTGTGATGGCCCAAGCCCATAACCACAGAATTATAAAGACAGAGCCAGGAGGCTAGCTCATGGCCATCCTGGGCTACATAGTTCTAGGACAGTCAATGGTACGTATCAAGACTCTATCCCAAAAATTAAAAATAAAAATAGAAAGGAAGAAAGAGAGAGAGAAAGAAAGTAAGAAGGAAGGAGGGAAAGAAAGAAAGAAGAAAGAAAGAAAGAAAGAAAGAAAGAAAGAAAGAAAGAAAGAAAG